ATTCAAGGTATCCTAATTGTAATTCAACAATCTAAAGCATGTATTTTTCATGGAAGTTGATTCAAGGTATCCTAATTGTAATTCAACAATCTAAAGCATGTATTTTTCATGGAAGTTGATTCAAGGTATCCTAATTGTAATTCAAAAGATAGAAATAAGTGTTTTTCTTGGAAGTTGATTCAAGGTATCTTAACTGTTATTCAAGATACTGAAATTACATCTTAGGCAGGTTGTGATGTGAAATAACCTTAACTGCAATTTTGAAATATCATCTTTAAAAAAATGTGTTTCCCTCATGTTCACTATTTCAATGACAAGCTTTCTATCTATCTTGGGTTTAGGTCCTAAGATATGGAGAAGGCTGAGAAATTTTTAAAGTTTGGAAAATGGAGAAAATCCAATTTATGTGTATTGCTTAAAACATAAAAGTAATGACGATGAAAATGTTTTCAACCTTATTCAACAAACTGAAAGTAATGGAAAGTAAAGGATGTCAATGTTTAGTGTCAACGTACTTCTAGACAAGAAGTCATTAATCTTCAGAATAAACAGGTTAAGTATCAGTTCTAAAATAACAGATTTGGCTAGAACAACAAACTGAAAAGTTTCAAACCTATTTTTCAGGTTTTAACGTTTTACTTTTATAAGATGGCTACTCACTCCTCTTTATCTAACAGCTTGGGAATGCCATACTTCTCCAGAATTATGGAAACAAACTCCACCAAACTTCTCTTAGGTTCTTTCAAAGTATCCATAAAAGTCCTCAAAAGATTTGCTACACAAAAATATAAGTTTAGTGTCAATTCTCACATACACACACACACAAATAATAAATTATCAAGGAGCGGAAACAAAGCATCTTTAACCCTTAAACATTTACATGATTAAGAACAAAAAAAACGCATATATTTTTTTTTACAGTATTTTGTTATATGAGCACTTTATATGTTTACATTGAAATCAGTTTTATCTAACACTAGTGAAAATACCTGGCATTACTTGGGTTATTAGGTTGATATATTCTAGATGACCATGTCAGTGTGTGTATTCTGAACCTATTTTAGCATCCTGCAGGTAGACATAATCTTCACTTGGAGCTTCTTTCGGTTTATGCAAACGAATTACAGCCTTTCTGTTTCAATTTTGGCATACATTACAATTTGCCCATTATAATTTTAGTGATGGGGTTACAAGAGGGCCATAAAATCTTGTAAGTGTAGTGAATGTTGGTATGATTTTAAGAAATTAATAAATAAGCCTGAAGTAAACACACAGTGTGAGATAACCTAGCATAGAACCAAGTGCATAAAATTTATCATGAAAGTTAATATATCATTACAACTTTAAACGTAAATTGTTTTTGAATTAAGGTATTTTCTGTTATATCACCAACGTTTTTAATAAAAACAATCTTCTTTAATCAAAGGAGACTAAATTAAAAAATCAACAAATATTTTTCCAGTTTTATTGTTTATACATTTCATTATATACTTTCAGTACATAGATTAACAACAACATTAGGTTATACTTTTGTTGCTAAGCGACATGACATAAAAGCCATTGTTAGAATGCATTGTTACCAAAATGCACTAGCTTTTCTATATATTAGAAGTTGTTAATCTGATATATTACTGGGTATACTATGGGGTGGTTGTACTTGCCTTGTCATTTTTGACAGGCTATACATCTATAATAAAAGAGCATGTCTGTCTCTCTGTCTGTTATTTCTATTTGTAATCTAAGGAATAACTTCTTTTCTATGTGGTTTTTTGCTAGTTTGCCTCATTAAAAAGATGTACATGCACATTCACACACCCATGTGGATAAGATAAGTAATAATACCTAGGTGCACACCCTCAGGGTCCAATTAGTATGAGTGCAAAATTTCAAGTTTCACACCCTTTTATTATTATAGATTTATTGTAGGCAAATTTTAGAATGAAACACTCAGTAAATTTAATTTTTAAAATGCTAATGAACTGAAGTAACAATTGAAAAATTCAATTACACTTTATACTTATACCAAATCAATAAATGTTATAAATCTGAAGTCAATAGTTAAAAATTGCACTAAAACTAAATCAACAAATGTTATCAACCTAAAGTAGAGTTAAAAAATGCACTTATACTAAATCAATAAATTGTTATCAACTTGAATTCAATCGTTAAAAAACAAATTTATATTAAATCACCAATTGTAATCAACCTGAAGTTAAAGGTTAAAAAAATATGCTTATGCTAAACCAACAAATGTTTTCAGCCTGAAATTAATTGTCAGAAAATGCATTTATTCAAAATAACAAATGTTATCAAACTGAAGAGAATAGTTAAAAAATGCACTTATACTAAATCAACAAATGTTAACAACTTGAAGTTAATGGTTAAAAAATGCAATTTTACTAAATCAACAAATGTTAACAACTTGAAGTTAATGGTTAAAAAATGCAATTTTACTAAATCAACAAATGTTATCAATGTGAATTCAATGGTTAAAAAAATGTTTATACTAAATCAACAAATGTTATCAGCCTGAAGTCAGTGGCTAAAAAATGCACTAACATTAAATCAATAAAAATTAACAAACTGAAGTTAATGGTTAAAAAATGCAATTTTACTAAATCAACAAATGTTATCAATGTGAATTCAATGGTTAAAAAAATGTTTATACTAA